GTGCAGCCCTGCCAGCCCTGCTGGCCAGGCACCCAGTACCAGCCTCCCCAGCAACCAGCTCAGTACCAGCCCCCCCAGCCACCAGCTCCAATTCAAACTCAAGTCCCTGCTCAAGTTCCAGCTCCAACTCCAGCCCCAGTCCCAGCACCTCATCCTGCCACGGGCATACATCCAAATGTACCAGGGTGGCCTGCCCACCCTGGTTGGCCTTATAACCCAGGACAGTCAGGATGGCCTGGACAGAGTCCATCTATCATGCCTCCACACTGGCTTCCACCCACATCTGGACCTCTTGTGAGTCAAATGCGAAGAATGTGACTTGCATGCATTGTACAATATTTTTTTCTAAAGTACAAGAAACACAGAGACTAGGTTAATGTTAATGAGGATAATGTTTGAACTCTGGCTGCTTTACAGTTCAGGTTGTGTTAATGTTATTCTCTCAATGTTGTTGTTTAGAGTGTGCCATACAACTTGAACCTGGCCCGGGGGGTCTATGACAAGATGATGATGACCATCTTGGGCCATGTCAAACCAAATGCTAAAATGTAAGCTATGTATACTTTGCTTTAGAGAGCCATCTTTTCCCTATATACTAATTCTTAGGTTTCAAAATTCATACAAAATGAAGAAAGTGAAAGCCTGACCAGCTTTGGTCTTCCACAGGTTCACAGTGAACTTTCTGAGAGGCAACGACATCGCCTTTCACATCAACCCCCGCTTCTGTGAGGGTGGCAAACAGGTGCTGGTCCGTAACCACAAACTGGGTGAACGCTGGGGCTCAGAGGAGAGGGACCTGAAGGGACCCTTCCCCTTCGCTCTCGGGAGCCCATTTGAGGTGAGTGTAAGAAAGAGCAATCAGACAGGGCAGTGGATTGAAAAGCAGTGCTTAAAGATGCTTTGTGTAGCATGTTAACATCAATAAATCTACCACAATCATTTGTGTTTACCTGGAGCAAAGTGTCAGTGTCTGCTGCTACTAATCCACTATTGCTTTACCACACACTGTACAGCACAAATAAAGGACATAAACAGGAAGCTGCTGATCGTTTTAACCATGGTCTCGTTTGTTTGTGGGAAGAATTTCACAATGATATGTTGATGTTTCAAAATGCTACACATGGTGCCTTTAACTGACTCTAGGTCACTTTCTCATGGTTAACGTCAGGCTAACGTTTGGAAAAGATGGAAAGGGTTGGAAAGTCGTTTGTGCAGGCGGGTCCTAGATAAGGGAACTGCTGTACTGCAGGAAGGCTCCTGGAGGTCAGTGGGGGTCTCATGTTGCTCAATAACATCAAAAACATCTATGCTTAACAGGCCGCCAAGAGATTACTAATACAAAGAGCTAATTCTGTCACAGCATCTGTGTTCAGTGACAGCAGTAACAACTAGGTTCCTAGCACTTTCCTTAATTTTCTGGAACTTGCACTGATATTAAATCAACTTAACTGTATCATACATCATTTTTACTTTTTGGTCGCTGTAGTTAGAGAATTTTGAGCTGCAGAGTGACTCTTCCTGATTGAAACCATGATTAAATAAACTATTTTTTTTCTAGATGTGATGGAAGTAGTACATCATTTGTGTTCTTCTCTGTTCCAGATGAAGATCCTGTGCACTCATGAGGTATTCAGGGTGGCAGTGAACAACATCCCGCTGTTTGAGTTTCGACACCGCATCATAGAGCTCAACCGGATTGACAGAATCAACATCCTGCATGATGTCGTCCTCACCTTTGTCAATGTGGAAACACTTCCATAGGAGACACACTGTTACTCATACAGTAAAAAATTAATTAACACATGACAAGGATGTACATGCGGATGAGCAAAAACATGTACACACACTACATATGGTAGGAACTAAAATGTTCCAATTTATTTATCATGATGCTTAAAGATCAAACAAATAAGAGTGTTAGTATGTGATGTAATATTAATATTGACGTGAGCTGAGCTCATCCTATAATATGCTTCAATAAGTTCACTTCCTCTACCACAAAGCTAACATTTAATACACATAAAGCTATCTTTTTCAGCACAAATATGCTACTGCTACTGTATTTATTGTGTAAAATATTTGATCAAATTGCTACTAACTGAGAATTATATGTACTGCCAACAATGACGGTTCTGTTAACTGTAGTGATTCTTAAATAAAATGATGAGTCAGAAATCTTGTGCAACGTTTTTGTTGTTTATTGTTTTAAGAGAGCTTAAAGACAGTGCAACAGTTTGAAACTGTATGACAGTAACAAAAGAAAAATCTCTTTCAGAGAAATATAAAATCACAGTAGAACATTCAAATCAGCACTACAAATACATGCACACATGTACATAAGGAACATAGGCTAACAGAGTAGTCATGATAATACATAAAGCAATGGAAACTGCTCTTAAGGTGCAGCTACAGTTCTCTGCAGTGAGGGAGACACCAGTGGCACAAAAATATAAATTACACAGCTAAAACAAACCTCATACCTTAATATAACCAATACTATCTTCACATCATATGTTCACTTCCTCTAACCTCACACATAAACATGTGTAAACATTTCCATCTCTAGATAGTACCCAACAGAACAGTGCAACACTTTGGTCTGGAGCGAATCGTCTCTATAACTGGCCAGATATTTATAAATCCCCAAGTAGATATGTCACCATTGGACCCAAGCATTTAATTCTACAAAAACCTATAGCACAATAGCCTTGCAATTTACATTTTCCTGTTCCCCAGAGGAGGAGCCCTTTAAACTTGAATATAGCACACAGAATAAAGTATCTTCTAATTAAATTGACATATTTCCAGGAAAATGACTGAGCACATTCTTAGCACCCACAAGCATAAACCTTTCAGATTTGAATAGCTCTATGTTACTTGCTGTAACACTACCCTTAGGACTAATTTTTACATTTTTATTGAATAGAAAAATCATTAGAAGATTGTTAATTCTGTCCATTAATTGTTATATTTCAGAATGGAATAATGAACAGTGCAGCCTCTAGGGGATGCTAATGTGGCTTTAGACTACTTAACCTTTACCAAACATAACCATATTTAACACAATTACTTAAATAGTGCATTTGGTGACCTTTTTGACTACCTGAGCTCTCCATGTAACTACATCATCTTTGTCCTTCTGGTGTCTCCCTTCATAATGATTGTATTTCATTCCTTATGCTTATGAAATTTAATTTTAAGAGCTATGGCAACTTGAAAAATAAGGCAAACTTTTATATTCTTTATTATTTCAGTGCATAATACTCATCATTCATTCCTTTCAGCTTCTCCAATTATAATGGCATCTCATCTGCATTCAGCTCACAAATAAAGTTCCAGAAGAGCAAATAACAAGTGTGAAATTCACAGTGCTACTGTGTGCGCATGTGTCATACAAACTCAACATCACGCAAACATCAGTCCATCTGCTCAAGTCTTGGTATCTAGTCTCCTCTCCACAGACTTCAGCAGCAGCTCAGCGTACTGCTCCAGCAGAGCCAGGGCCTTCTCTCCTTCACCTTTGACCTCCTGGTCCACCCGGGGCCCTTCACACTGCAAGGTGGGGTGAGGCAGAGAGTCCAGCTCTGCTTTGACTGTCAACAGGGTCTTGGACAGGATGCTCCTCATTTCTTGTTGATCTTCACTGTGATGTTGGCCGGATTGCAGCACCTGGTTTTATTGAAGACAAATGTGTGAAAAACCGGCACAGGCAGCAAGTGAGACAGGCAGGCAAACAGACGTACAGGCAGTCTGTCAGGGACTTTTCCCTGTTTAATCTGTTCAGATTATAGATATAACAACAAACGTGTCTTTCCAAGTAGGGTTGCAACTAAGGATTGTTTTCATTATCAATTAATTTGGTTTCTAGTTTTCTATAGATTCATGTTTTTTGTTTACAAAATAGTGAAACATATTTTGTCCTGAACTAATTAGTCGTTTAAAGAATTTGTCAATCAACAGAAATTAATTTAAAAATATTTTGACAATTGATTATTGATTAGTTTCTTTTTCAAGCAAGAAAAGCCAAACATGTCCTGGTTCCAGAGAGGTGAGATTTACAAAAAAAAAACATCAACAATATTATTTATCTATATATGCAAATATATAACAATAAAAAGAATATGAGCGTAGCAACATTAACAGGCATGTAATATGTGAGTAATGATCTCTATCTTTTCCCCTTTCATCTTCCATATCTCTCTATCTTTCTTCCGGATATATTTTCCTTTTTTAACCCCCACATTTCCACTCTTCTCTCTTACACACACACACACACACACACACACACACTCTCTCTCTCACTGACCGTAGTGTAGAGCATGACGGTTTTCCTCAGACTGTTGTGAAGCTCACTAACAGCCTGCCTACAAGTTTCCAAGGTGATAGAGTGATCTGCCGAGAGTGAGTGAGAGAGAGAGAGAGAGAGAGAGAGAGAGGACTCTTAAGTATAGTGCAGCATGTGGAAAATCAGACACGCACATACTGTACAGCATATACACACAGACACACAGTTATTGAGCGAAGTAGGCACACAGTGAATGCTGAGAGAAAGGTTGAAGAGCATTAAAAGAAGAACAAGAATAAACTTGGTGGCAGAAAAGAAACAACACACGAGGAGGCTGCTGTAAACAGCCAGAGAGCGAGAGCTGTGAAAAATGATTTCACAGTTTATATCCTCCAGCAAAACACAGTTGTAGGTACAAATGTGGACTGGATATCACTTAATGGCATTTATGGTTTCTGTGTTTTCAAATTGATCGGTTATCATCCACAAAACAGCAGGCACAGAAGCATGAAGAACAGGATAGAGAATTTATTTTAAGATTAATTTAACTCTGTTAGATACCTTTCTTTACTGAGTAAGTGGGCAACGTGATCTGGAGAGGCTCAGTTAACAGAGGCTCTATATATCAAAACATAATCTTAAATAATTGTAATAATTATGTAACATACTTCTTATAAGTTTAATTTAGTTTTCCTTTATACTTCTTCCTATTTTTGCTATTTTTTTTAACTGTTTATATTTTATTGCCTAACTGTTATATTCTATTCTTATTTAAATATTTGAATATCTGTTGATATATTGTATATTGTTTTGTTGGAAGTAGTAGTATAGTAGCATAGGTTTTGAGCAGCATACCACAGAGCTCGTTCAATCATGTTTTTATGGTCTTAAAAATTTTCAGAAATCTCTTATCTCTCTTATCTTTACTTCAGACAGTACAGAACCCAGGGTCACATTGCCACCCTTGTGTTTCTCAACTAACAGATCTGAAAATTCACCAAAAGAGTAGCATTCAAAACTTCCCATGTCTCTTCATCTATGGACATGTAACGTAAGCAGTATTGACAGCAGGAGGAGGCCACAGAGACAGCTGGAAGAACACGAGACAGACAAGCAGACTCACAGACACGCCAGAAGGCAGAGGGTGAGGAGGGTGAAGAGGTGAAGTGATGAAGAGGAGGAGCAGCAGAGACTGACAGGTTTATAAAAGATTCTTGGGTGGACAGACCTGGTTGGAGGTCAGCACTCGATGTGTGGGTCTGTTCAGGCACCAGAGGGCACTCTTTGGCTACAGCCGCCTGTCCTGGCTCCGTGATACTGGGAAGAAAATGTCAGAAATGTGTGTCAGTGTTTAGACTGCAAGAGTAGAATAGAATCATCAAACAGAAACGTTTATAGATGTTTGTTATTTTTAAAAATTCATAGCTGAATGTTTCAAAGTGTTGTAAAAATATACCTCTCTGAAACCAAGTCTCTCTTCTGCTTCACTGGTAGTGAACTTGGCAGAGAAGAATCCAAACTTGAATGCCTGACCAGTGCTGAAGACAACAAGATATACACAAAATCACACATGGGAAATCCGCTTTTAAGCTCCTTACTTGTGCCTATCTATGTGTCACATCTATTGTATATGGCGGGCTGTCTAACCTTGACTTCCTGTAGCATGTGTAACTTCACATCCAGGGTCTATAGTAGGAGTTAAAGCCCTCACCGGGCTTCCAGAACAACTTGAGCTTGGCATCACCTCCAGGCAGAGGCTGCGGCGAGGGCCAAGAGGCTGTCTGGGGAGTGGGATGCGAGAGGGCGGGATGTTCTGGGAAAAAGGAGTGGGTGAAACTGTAGCTGTAGGATTGGGAGGAGCTGGGGAAGGACTGTGTGATGGAGGACATGATAAGAGGGATGATGCTGATGAGACAGCAGAGGGGAAAGCCGTGACAGGAGAAGAAGTGAGCATGGGAGGGTCAACCTCCAGCTCTCCGCATGAGCTCCTGTTCTTGGGGAGGGAGGGGGAGCACGGTGGAGAGCCCATCTGGATGCCCTCTCCCAGCGAGGAGGAGCGGCTGCTTTTGGCCATGGAGCTGGCAGTGGGGTTCATGTAGGTGAGCTGGGGCTTGAGTTTGGGGCTATCCCAGGGGAGGGGGGACTGGGGTGACTGTGGGGAGCCGGAAGAGGGTGAAGAAAAGTGAAAGGAAGGCCTGGGAGTGTCATGATCCAGAAAGAGCTGCTGAGGTCTTTTGCACGACTCCCTTTGGTCACTAGAGGGCACATGTGAGTGAGGAGCTGGAGAAAAAATGTAGAAGAGGACTTTTTTGAAATATATATTGAAAAAAGAAGTACATTTAATTATGTTGTGTTAAATGAACTGTATTAAAATTACATCATACAAATGAATTACTGCCAATTCCAGCTAATTATATAAACGTTTTGCATATATTCCAATGCAAATAATGTTTAAATGCATTCTTATGGCAGTTTAACTGTCTCACAATATACACATAATGAAACTGCTCATGCTCATTGAATAATCTGACCCAAATATTACAGAAATATATCATAATAAATAAACAAAATTATTTTGAAACGTACAGTCTGAGGCCAGGTTCTGGGTGGAGTGTGATTTCTGTAAACATGTTGCTCTGTCCGACAGCATTGGAGCGTTATATGGAGGGTTTGACAGCCTCCACAGGTGAGACCCTGAAGTCTTCTTCTTCAGGGGACTAAGGCTGGGGCCACAGTCACTCCCTGGAGCGTCTTCCCTGCTGAGAGGAAGCACAGCAGCTTTAGAATCACTTTTAGAAAACAAGCCAAAATAAATATGATTCATTTTCTTTTGTGTCTGTGATACATTTTTGGCTATATTTGGGTGTATATTAGTCTAAATGATTTGCATGTGCATAATTAGTTATAGTTTCTCCCTTCTTTTGTTTACCCTTATGGATTATTAATCTGTAAGTAACAGCAGAAACTACAGATTGTAATGTAAACAGGCATACAAATCTCTAAACATTGTAGCCTAGTTTGACCTCAGGAATCCTCTTTGTCAAGTATGTTTTATAGTGCATTCTTACCATGTGGACTTATTATCGTTTCTTCATCATTTGTTTATGCAAACAGTGTACCTTTTGTGCTTTTTTGATATATGCATTTATTCATTAATCCAAGTCTGCCAAAGCAGCACTTGCCTAAAAATAAACCCCATGCTGCTCATAATCTGTGTTTGTGTCTTACCTTGGCCACTTGCTCTTGCCAGGGGACACAGGGGTCTTGTCTTCTGTGTTATCTTCAATCAAGGGTCGTACTTTTGACACAGGGGGCTTAGCAAAGTGGTTACCTGGTTCCTTTCCATGCACTTTGGCAAATGGAGGCATGCCCCTACACAGAGAGAAGCCGTTACAGGGTTAGTGGAGCCGGTGAGTAAAATCCAAACTGTATTTCTCTACTGCAAGTTAACGGAATAGTTTGACATTTGGGGAAATGTTCTTTTTAAGTAAACAACTAGCCTGACTAACAATTTCTTTACAAATCAAATTAAATGTTGTGACCTATAGACACAACCTGGCTTCATTTACTGTACTGTCATGAGAGTGCTATTTTATAAAATATGGGTAAGATGTAAGATTGACTGATACAACTGTCATGTCTGTATAATAAATATGTAGCTTCAGCCAGCAGCCGGTTAGCTTAGCTTAACTTAGCTTAGCACAAAGACTGGAAACAGAGGGAAACAGCTATCCTGGTTCCGTCCTACCAGCACCACTGAAGCTCACTCATTCACACGTTCTATCTTATTTGTTTAAATCTGTACAAAAATTATAGTGTACAACAATTTGGCTCTTTTATGGAGAGTTGTATGCTGGACTGTTTCTTGGCCAGGAGCAGTTGCCAGGCAACCAGCAGAGACTCTATGAAGTTAGTGGTCCTGGTCAAGTAATACTCTCTGGCATAGCACATAAGCCTTCCTAAAAATGCAGAATTGTTGTTTTTACATTTCAGTTTTTGTACAGTAGATATAACAAAGTAGATATAACATGTTACTCAGTCAGCTTTACCATACAGACAGGGTGTGGGTGCTCTCCATCTTTCTCTCTTCTTTCTCAAAATGTTAAGATATTCCTTACATCATACAGTGTTTTATAGTAAAACGTCTCGCTGCACATTTATTGTAAAATAAATAAAAACTTTCAAAGGTAAAAAACAATCATCCTACACACATAAAATTACCCAAATGTGGTTAACAATGCAGTTTCAAACTGACAGCCTGGCTAGATCAGGATGGTACACAGATGGTTTAGCAGAGCAGTGTGCGTGAGTCCACATGGGTTTGTAATTATAGCTGTGAGTCCACACTAGTCTGAAGTGGTCAACAGTACCTGTTATTATGTCCTCTGGCCAGGAAGCGTGAAGACATACTGAGCCTAGGGACTCTGCTCTGCTCGGCTGTGGACAGACATCAAGCGTTAGAAAAAAACAAAAACAAAATGGAGACAGTGGCAGAGAGAGAAGAAACACACAGAGACCGGGAGAAAAAGAAAGAGAAACCAAAAGCCTAATCAATATTGCTTGCTTATCTACTTGTATGTGAGGTCATTTAAAGGAACAGGTCATCATTTTGGGAAATAAGCCAATTCATTCTCTAGCAGAGTTAGATGGAGATATATAGCAGCCTTATATCTGTTAAATGAAGCTACAGCCAGGAGTTAACCAACAGGGGAAACTGCTAGATTAGCTCTGTCCAAAGGGAACACATCACATCTTGTTTGTTTAATTTATACAAAGAACTGAAGTATTAAGACAACAAGTGTTTTTTTTCGGGGGTTATTATCTGGCGTTGCCATCGTGAGTTTGCCAGGCCAAGACTCTCATCTGAGATCTGAGATCCAGGAAGACTTGGTAGGAGGAGGATTTTTTCTACCTTTTCAGACAGAGCCAGCTTTTGTTTCCCCCTGCTTATAATCTTTATGCTAAGCTAAGCTAACCATCATCCATATCATAAGGATGTTATCAATCTCCTCTCAGCAAGACAGAAAATAAGCATTCTTCCCAAAACTATTCTATAGAGTGTTTGCCTTCTCCTACCCGTGCTGCAGCTCTCTGCCAGCATCTCAAAGTTCTGCTTGAGGAAATCTTCTTGGCCGCGGTCAGCAATGCCAGTCACTGTCCTCAGAGCCTCATCCATACTTGTCATTTGCTCCTCTTCCTCCCTCTCTTCATTCTCCTCATCAGAGCTGTCCTGACCCAGGGACTCCACATCTGCACAATCTGAAGGGGCAAAGGAGAAAAGGCACAGCTGAGGCAGAAACCCCAGAAAGAAACCCCTTTCCAAACCCTCCTTGACCTTGGTACATCTACTGCATACAGCAGGTAGGCACCAGATAATCCTTAACAAATGACCAGCCAGAACACTGAGGCTTCTGTGGTAGTATTATCTGACATATTTCTGTCAAGTCTGAGACTGAACAAAATCCCAGCCAGTGTGTTCTCAAATCCCTCTCATCCGCAGGTATCAGCTTTACTGTATGTTGCAGAGTTATCATGGGTTTCATGTACATTTTAGCTTTTCATTTTAAATCCAGCGCTTGAGAAGACATTTATAACTTGAAATGTAGACAGATAAAAATTCTAAAATATAGCATACTAAGGGTGAGTTTGATATCTATTCAAAATTCCTAAGACATTAATCTCTTCTGTTTTATTCAGGCTATTACACAGCATGCAAGCTGCAGCAAGAAAACCCTTCACTGAAAGCCACTATGTGTAGATGTTTTGTGTGATTTTAACATGTTAAATTATTAAATGTACTGAATACCTAAAATCATTTTCAGGCATTTGTTTTGTGGAAAAACAGTATAAAGACAATCATCCATTAATGTCTGCCACAGTGTCTTGTGTGATAGTACCACTGGGGGTGCTAAAGGAAATGTTGAAATTGTTCACATACAGAAGTGGCTTTAAATGGTAATTTTCATTTTTTGTGATTTATTTCTGTTAAAGTAAATTATTAAATGAATTGTCAGTCATAATTGTGTATTGCTTTAACTTTATTGCTGTCATCAGAGTAAGATCTCACCATCCAGGACACGATCCGGGCTGGACTCCCTGCTGTTGTAACCCAGAGAGCAAGCACTGTCCGGGCTGCGGCTTTCCTGGCTATCACTGCGGATCCCTCGTCCTTGCATCCTGCAATGCTGCTCCTTCACCATGTAATCACTGACGTACGTAAAACAGAGAGAGGCGGAAACAATGAGGAGCAGGGGTGGAGGGGAAACATTAAACTAAGAATAGAAAAGCACTTTTGTTCTCTTCCAGTGTCATTGTGATCGCTTGAATAAAACCAGGAGTAGTGAGCAGGGCTTTACCTGCCCTGCAGACTTGTATCGTCCTGGTTTTCCTCAGGGTACAACACGGCTCCATCAGTCCCCCTGATGCCCTTGGATGGGTGTGAGGACAGCCAATCAGCTTGTGGCCAGGGCCGATGCCTCTTGGCTCTCTCCTCCAACTGCACAAAATGAACATAGGTGACTTAGCAGTGCAATTACACACACAAATCTATGGACAGCTCCCTCTTTGTCTTTCTTAGACTCATGCATACCATCGGCTCATGGAGGCTGGATGTGCTCTGTCTCTCTTTGTCATGAGGGGGGCAGTTAGAGTTTTTCTTGTGGGCAAAGGTCTCCAGCTGCCTCAGGTCTAGCATGGATTTAACCATCACCTCCAGGGAGCCCATACGATGAGACCAGCGCCTCCGAGGCCGCTTAGAGGAGTCAGGAGTGACCTGGCCGATGACTCCATGCTAGAAATAACAAACAGGAGACGAACAACTTAACGCAGTGAACCATGATTTAGATTATAAAAGACATGAATGAAAAATAACATACAGCAGTTCTGGAAATTAGAGTTGACAAGTATTAAAAGTGCCAATTTCCCTCCAGATGCACACATCTCAGATAAGGTTGTGTGATCTAGTTTTTAGTGCCCCCATTCTGGCTGCGTATTTCGGAATGGATTTCACATTGCTTTTTATCACTTTTAAGACTCAGTGGGAGGGTATTTTCCCTCTGGTACATCACAGAGGATTTATTCTCATGTGTAGCAGTCTGAAGCCCAAGATCCTTAAGTCCTTCTGAAGTACTGACAGACAAAAAAAAGAGGTAGTCGACTGGAGCATTAGCTGAACTGTTCATCTGTTGTCCAGACTACATATCTGTAAAAAATCTGAATTAAGATTATGAATTAAAATATTTTATATTTATATATACATATATATATATATATATATATATATATATATACACCCCCCCAC